AGTTACCACGGACTGGCGGCGGCTTGGATGGTGGAGGCTCAACCTTCGGCACAGTCTTCACAGGTACATCAGCCTGCGCATCTCGCGCAACCTCTGCCTGCGCTGTGGCTTCTGGCGCAGGCAAGTCACCACAGGCTGGCGGCGGCTTGGATGGTGGAGGCAATGGTGGAGGCTCAACCTTGGACACAGGCACCTCAGCCTCAACCCTCTGAGACACAGCCTGCGCATCTCCCGGCTTCGTTTGTGACCATGGCAAAGGTCGACGTCTGAAAGCTGCATCATTCACGCTGCGTTCCACATCTCCTCAGATTTCCGCTTCATATACCGTATACGCTATTATATGGTAAAATATGGTAAACGTATCTTGAAGCCTCACGGACAAAACAATACCTGATAGATACTAGTAAAATCATGTAAAATCTATTACAGTAAATAATATTCCTTACGTTTGATGGCCAGCGTCCTGATTGGTTACTTGAAGCTCCAGCACTTCCTGAAAAAGGGCTTTCTCTATAAAATGAGTCTACCCAAACCCTGTCTCATCATATGAAACGAAGCACAGCAAACACATATACAGTACCCAGCTCCTGATTGGTTTGGATTGACTTTGGGACCAATTGAAGCATCAGCAATTCCTGGCACAGAAGCGAGATGAAGCGAGGCACGTCCACACTATAAAATGGACGTGCTGAACCCCCTCAGATCATATAGAACATATTAGAACATCATGGTGAAAAGAACATACAGGAACCATGATTATGAGGGCCTTCATCAGCGCCCGCAGTTTCCCCAAGCGGTGCCTCAGCCAATTCCAATTGGATCCAATTGGTCAGGTTGAGAGCTTATTCAAAGGGTTTCAAAGGGATGCAAAATGTCTGCCTCACCGTGAGCTCCTCTTCTCGCACAACCCGTGAGCAAAGTGCGTGTCACGTACAATTAGCCCAGGCAGTGACACGTGCTTGGAAACGGAACTCTTCAAAGAGTAAAGCTGCCAACCTTTTAGGCAAGGCAGACACACTACAAGGATCCAAAAAAAACCACAGACGTCTGGCATCTTCTGGGATCCTCCTTTTGAGATTAGTCTGAGATTATCTCAGATGTACTCAGCATCTTGGCACTGTTCATGGGCGGGTGAAGCGACGTATTCAATACATCAATCTCCTGAGGTGCTGGCTAGACAATCAACTGCCATCAAATTCTGAAGATAAGACTTCCTTCCTCATCTGAGTTCATTTCACTTCAAACGTTTCACATATGAATTTTATTTGAGAAACCCTTCCAGCAGCGCATCAAGGCCAGGCAAAAGTGGCCAGTGTACGCGGCACTGCTAGCTAGGTGCTTTCCACCAGACCACTGACCATCTTTGTGGGTGTAGTACACCTGCTGGCCGGCATAAATGTCAGCGAGTGTGAATGTGCATTTGTGATTCTATTTATGCGATTTGCATTTTCACGTGTTTGGTCAATGTAAAATGAAATAGCACGAGCCTTCTTGACTTTACGCTTTTCTTGTCTTTTCTGGAAGCGTTCCTGGAACATATCACAACATGTCACAAACAACACAAATCAAAAATATCCCCAATCATGCCCAATCCATCCCAATCCAGCAGCAACTTGAAAGATCTTGAACGTACAACAACAAAACATGCAAGATTCACAGTCCTGAATGCGTTTTCTGTCCTTGGCTGTCATAGTTCTGCGAAGAGCCTCTCCGCTCCTGACACAATATATTAGGATTTAAAACTTGCGCGACACAATTCATCACAAAGGTCCTCCAGTTGACAAGTAGATGGCTGCACTTCAGAAGATCATGGGAAAACATCCCCATCCAACTGGTGACTTTTGTCCTGACAAGCTTCAACAAACGGACAAGCAAAGACTCTGTATGACTCTGTAAAACCAAGAGCAACAACAGTCAAGGCACATGTGCCATTGATCAATCAGCTCCCGCATGCATGGCAACTTCAAAGCCCAGGACGATGAGGGTTGTTCGATCATGACTTTAAGGTCACTCCGGATCCTGGCCAAACAAAAATCAAAAAAACTGTTGACAATTCCAACACATACACTCGCACACGCTAATGAATCTTCAATGATCCAAAGCAGATAAAAGCACTGACAGAGACAGCCTTCCAACCACCTTGAGGACGACGCAAAAGTTCTTCCAGATGCGGTTGGCAAGCCGAACCTTTTGATTAGCCGTGTTCCCCCAAGGATTGCACATGCTGCGCCGGTGAATAGACTGGCATGCGGCTACAAACAGTGAGCACGGTGGCCCTGCGGCCACCAAGGCCCCAGGGAGAAGCCTTACCACAACAGCAAAGATACAGTGATAGGATTCAGGCAAAAGGAGAACTCTTCCAATTAGGAAAAAAACGCGCAGGATGCAGGCAAAAGGCGCAAACATCATGCTCAGAAGCATGACCACTCCATCCCACGCTGTAAGATCGTGCGTCGGACAGAGCTGAATGTCAAAAGCCACAGCCTTGTACCGTGCTCTTTCCCAACACGACCTGAGAGGAGAAAAGCGTTGCTACGTACTTCATTTCATCATATGTCATCATTTCTACCGTTCCCAAGTCTTTTAGCATCTTTCAACCATTGAATGCAGAGCCAAGAGGCGCGACGGAGCGGGAGAAGCCAAAGCAATCAAGGCAATGATACTCCGGAGTCACTTAGATCGGCTGGGGCTGGCCAGACTGATTCATCGAGTATTCAGAACATGTCACCAAAAAAGGGTGTATATAACTCATCTTAAATCTAAAATCGTTTGAGTCTAGCCACCGTCTGCTGCAAGCTGATACGCAAAGTTCAGCAAGAATTGGACATGATATTCTGCTTGAAACCACCTTAGGAAGATCCAGGAAGCATGCTGGATCTTCTCTATGAAATGGCTCCCCCTGACCCACTCTAGGTGAATAAAACATTATATAACTCATCTGCTTGGGTGTGCACTTTATATATGCCTATACGATCTTGCATGGGCTCATTTCATGGCCTGATCTGGGATTGGACTAGTCATTTTATAGAGATGTGTTTTGAAAATGTTGAAGGATGTAAGAAAAATGATGTAAATTGTTTTCCAATCCGTTTCATCGCTTCATATCTCTTCTAGGATCTTCTAGGCAGCCAAGATTCCACCTTTCATCAAGTCCAGTAGCTGTATCATCAGCGCATTTACCCATGGCTCTTCCACGTCGTGTCACGTTGGATTCAGCAGGTGCAGCCAAACAGATCTGCTTTTGCGAGTCTTTTATATGTAGTATTGCCAGATTCATGCGATGAAACAGCAAGAACATCACAACAAAAGAATGAAAAAGTTGACGTTCCAAAAAAGGTGCTTGCAAATTTCCATAAGTTACATTGCTCAGGACATCTCAGGACCAGACCGTTTCCTTTTCAATCTTGACAGGTCCAGATTCAGCTTTGCATGCCAAAGCTGGCGGCCGGTCCTAACCATCTTTTATTTTCTTTACATTCAAAATCATTCAAAGGTCTGTTTGATTTTCCCATGTTTTATCACATCTCACTGTAGTCCTTCAATCGGCTGATTTCATGTGTCCACATCCACATCTGCCTTGGGCACCAGTCGCATGTGTTTACCCAATGATTTTTCTTGGATTTGTCTGATCTCAACAGATTACCAAATTCATCCAAATTCATTTTCCACCATTTGATTCCATTTGCAATCAACGGCACATGTCTTTGTTCCAGTAGGAGTAGTGCCATGACGCTCGACCAGACCACATCTCGCATCGTGCAACTCAGTGCTTCGTGACACAGCATAACTCGCGGGTCCATGATCTAACATGTAGTTGCTGCAAAGGTTTGTTCAATATCTGGTCTTTCATAAGATGCATCCCAGCTTCTCCAAAGGTTGTACCGAGCACTCCAAGACGGAGCCCCCATCTTCTCCACGCAAGTGCGGATTCCCTCAAGGCGCCAGCCAAAAAAAGCAATCTGTTAGCTTTTACAAAAGTTCAAAACCATTAAGCAAATCAAAGAAGATCACACATTTGATCACATTTGTAGGCCAGAAACGCATATCGTGGGACATCCTTCTGGAAGCTCAGGTGGATCAGGAGCTCTTTTGGGCGCCATTGCCAAAAGCTGTGGAAAGATAAAAATAATATAAAAAAGAAATCATTTCAATATATAATTGTCTAATATTGTCTATATTTACAGATCTCTGCTTTATTACTTTTTTGATATTCTTTGAGGGTTATTCTTTCCATTCATGATGTAAAATGCTATTAAACCTTTACTTCGCTCACGTACGTGGATCCTTTTTTTTGAACCGTACATATCTCCAGGTCACGGACGCGCGTCATTTTTTGACACAATCTATGAACATGCTCCTTCCAGATACCAAATTCTCTATGAAATGAGGATCCTACGTCCCCAAGGGGGGGGGGTATGAAACGTTTTATGTTGAGCCATGACGCCCTCCATTTCATAGAGGTTTTGGTCATGGGTATATTTTTGACAAGACCAGACGACTTAACACAAGTGTAGAAATGCCAGTGGCAAACGAAGTCCGCTGACAGGGGTGCCAAACCAAGGTGCTGCAAAGCGTGAACAAAGCAAAAGCCAAGGTTCGAACAGCACACGAACGAATTGGATGGTGACCGGAGTCACCGCGGCCGGGGCGCCCTTTTAAGCTCATTGAGCCCACCCTCTCCGGATGGTGCATGGTTCATCTCAACCGCATGTTACACAGCGTGTAATTCACACGGGAGGAAAGTAGTAAAAAAACTAGTCTGCCGACAGGTTCGCGTCGGCAAACCAAGCATGGATCTCCGCTCGGAGGGCGCCTCCAAGCGTCGGGTTCCTGACATCCAAAGGGCACCACTTGTCGCCACAGTAGGCGCAGCAGCGCAGGGACTGGCGGTCGCGATCCGCCATCTGCTCAACCATGTGGCACTCAGGGTAGTGCCAGCAGTCTCCTTGGCGTGATGAGACAATCACCACACGGCGGGGACAGGCTTCCATGTGGTTGTCCATGGCCGTTTCCACACGGCGCAGCAACATCGCTCCATGTTTCACCAGGGCCTTGAGATCGAAGATCTCCGCAGTGAATCCGTGCGTCTCCATGAGGCACAGATCCAAGGCCTTGCGAGCCTCTCGAGCGGCCTTTTGGGACTCTTCACTTTTCACCTTCTCCTTCTCCAAGACTTCACGAAGTCGGGCCGAGACAATGGCCTCATCCTTCTGCACTCCGGCTTCACTTGAAGCCTTCACCGGCGCCCAGTGCAGGCACTTGCACAAGCAGCAGCTGCTTGTCATCACCAAGAGGTGGGTGAGCAAAAGGAAAATCATCCAAAACAACCAACCATCGTCGTTCGCAGGCTCTGAGGTCGTGACGGGCAGCTTATCGCACGTTTCTGGAGCGTGGCAGGAAGAGAAAACAAATGCAAAACACCAACCAAAACACGATGTTCTTCATGCGACCGGTGCTCACATACTTCTTGCGGCTTTCGACATGGCGAGCTGTGGCGTAGACATACGTGACAGCGAGGGCATTCGTGACAAAGTTGACACTCTCGTGAGGGTCAACGTGAGGGTCACCTGCCGGGTTCTCTTGGACCTCCTCGGACTCGGGGATGTAGTTTTCTTCATGTTGTCGGTGCCAAGCGTGTGCAGCAGCCTTTGGCACCGAGGTTGTCTCAGCCAAAGCGCTGAGCTTCTCTCCCCTACTTTTCTTCTTCATGGCCTTGTAGGAGGGGTCCCACGTTAGCTTCAACTTTTGATGCCGAAGGCGTGTTGCAAAGAGAACACGCGCAGCTTCCTTTGTCAAGCCGTCAGCGATCTGTCGGTCGCTGCTCATCCATTTCAAAACACCATCAATCTCCTGGAGGCGCTCCTTCATGACGCGGATCTCGAGGCTGACCCTTTTGTCAATGACCGAGGAGCTAGCGGATTCACGATGGTAGGCATCATACAATGCCTTGGCATCCGTGACCATCACGGGCTTCAAAGTCGACCTGATGTTGAGCAGGTCCTTCAATGCCATGTCCGGCTCAAGGAGATGGTGCCAGTAGCGGCAGGTGAAGTCCACCGCATCGCTGGCTTGACCGCCAGCCTGGGCTTCCGCTCCAAGTGATGACCTGGCAACCCGAGGAGTTTTGAAGCTCCTCCAGTCCAGCACATGGTACTGGCCTTCTTCGTCTGAGTGCATGAGGTTGCCGTTGATGAGCATCAGGATGTAGCCACCTTGAGACGATCCATCATTGCGGGTGGAGAATCCCGCGTCAAAGAAGCACAGCAACCGCAGGCTGTCACACTCACCGATGTAGTTGTAGGTGAGGCCTATGTCCTTGTTTTCCTTGGCGAACTTGAGAAGGCGGTTGGTGTCCATGAGAGTTTGGATCGTTCCTTTGTTGACCAAGCCGGAGAGCAAGCTGGCGCTGCATTGCAAGTGTGGTGAGGTTTGAACTGCCGGCCACTGCAGTGACCCCAACAGGCCACGAAGCTGAGTGACTTCACGTTCGCGAAGACTGTCATTTGGCGACTGCTTCTTGTTCACCACGATGGGCATCACCTTCTCCAGGTACTTGGTTTGGTGGATCTTTCGGCCTCCTTCGGGAGTCTTCTCAATCTCGCAACCACAGTACTCGAGGCTGTCCTGATCCTCCTTCCACTCCCTGAACGAAAAGTTGGCCTTAAGCTGCTCCACCACAGAACGATATCGTGGACTGTCCATTCCAAGGAGGTCGAAGGAGGTCGTCCACATGCATGATGACCATGCCAACCAGCTTTTGCGGCCCCAAGCTTTTGACCTTCGCATGGACCGGATCTTCGGGGTTGTAGTTCACATCGTCGGTCTCATAGATCAGGAAGGCGCATGGGTCCAAGGCATGCTGGCAAAGTCCTCCACGGCGGAGTCGGTCCACAGCTTCAAGGTACCAGCCGCGAGGTGCATCGATCTGCCCATAACAGGGCTTCAGCAGAAGCATGCGGGTCTCTTCGTCGGCGCCAAGCAATGCCAGGGCTTCCGCAGGAAGCTTGACCCACAACTTTCGGTCTTGCTCACGACCTTGGAGGAAAGCGGTGCTCACATCAGCCGTCCACGTTGTCCAGCCCATAGTCGCCCCCAAAGATAGGACAACTGACCTGGAGAGTCGTGTAGTCGTTGGACTGGATGTTTCGATGCGGCCTGCCAAGGCATCAGGGTCGGCAAACCCTCGATCGATGAGGCGAGCTTTTGCTCGTGGAGTTCCATCGGGGTTGTGAGACCACTTGAGCAGGATCCGTGACGTCAGAGTCCTGGCTGGATCGGCTTCTTTTGTGGTTTCAAAGACCCAGACATGGTGATCGAAGAAGCTTTTCAGTTCCTTCACCTTTGCCTCTTTGAACATCGCCCGTTCATGTGGGCCGAGCAGGCGTTCATTGACAGCATTCTTCTCCTTCTTGAACTTCTTCATCTTGGCCAGTTTCTGTTCCTTGGCCTGCTGCTTCGCACTGGTGAAGTGCTGATGTTGTTGATGTCCAGTGTACATGGCCAGCTCTTTCCGGGTCTCCCCGTTGATCTGGAAGATTGTTGCTCCTGTCCAGGTGGCGTTGACATCAGGAGGTGGTGCACTATCGTTGCCAGAATCAGTGTGGAGCTTGCTCTTGCCGTTGGCTTGGTGGATGAGTGTCACCCGAATCCGATCAAGCCTTGCAGTGTCAACTGGGCAATCTTTTGGAAGATGTTCAATATGTGGCACACACTGGTGTCGAATGAGACAGCCGGCTTTGATCTCCCAGTAGTCGGAGTTCCGGTCAGTGAGCTGGAGGTAGCCGCGCTCGTCCATGTGCCAGCCGACAGGCAAGACCTTCGTGTCGAGGTCGTCCAAGTAGAATGCTTGTCCTTCAAAGGTGTCGTCTGCTGAGCTCACAGGTCGTCGAGCCGGATCATATGGTGCAGTTTCTGCCGAGTGACGGAGTCGAAGTGGTGCAAAGCTCATCGTCTCTTGACGGTTGAAGTATAGTCGTCGTTGTTGGAAAGTCTCGGCGTCGATCGGCTCATAGAGCGAGGCTGTGTGAGGGTCCAACGTCGGTGGTTGAGCCCGCTCAGCATTCGTTGTTGACATAGGTGCCACAGTGGAGTGCGGTGTGGATTGTGCTGCTGGTGGCTCCTCACTAGGTTCAGAGATGGAGAGGAGTTCACTTGGCACTCGTGGCAAATCGTTTGTATCTGCTGTTGCGTGTGGTTCTGTTTCTGCCGCTGCCGTGTCTGCAGCTGCCGGTTCCGCTGCTGCCGCTGTTTGTGAGGCTGCCGGTGATGTTGGTGTGTACTCATCGTCCATAGGTGCCACTGCCGATGATGCTTCTGGTGCTCCTGGAGCTGAGGCATTTGGCGGAGTGATAGCAGGTTCACTCTGAGGAGGCTCGTGAACCATCAACCGTGGCCGATTCCTCCTCCAACTCACCATTGGGATCATCACGGTGTTCATCCTCCTCCGCATCAACAATGTCATGTTTGTTGAGCTTGCGCAGGTCGTAGCATCGGGTCACTCCACGTGATCTGAGCTGCCGAACTGAGTTCAGGGCCTTTTGAACATCATCGAGCACATGTCCAACACTCTTGACATCGGCTCGGACATGATGAGGCGCACATCGGATGAGCTGAGTTTTGTAGGCCAGCCAGTAAACATGTGGTCGTCGGTGTTCACCTTCTTTCGTGTATTCTTTCATGACCACTTGCGCTGGTCCCAACCATCGAATCTTCACCAGATCAGGTTGTCGTTGATCTCGCCAAAACCAAACCTGTTGGCCAAGGGCATACTCAGCATTGAGACCTTTGTACTTTGCGCCAAGTGCTCGACGAAGGCGTCGATCAGCATCAGCCTCAACAAGGGCTTTCTGTGCAGCAGATCTTCGAGTGAGCATCGTCTCAAAGGTTTCGTGGCCACCATAGTGCGAGGGCTTGAGACTCGTGGACAAGAGACTACCACCGAGCTGTGGCTGATAGCCGAGCACCCACTGCGATGGAGAAAAGCCAGCAACCGTAGGAGCAGCATTCATCTGTGGGACACAGTGGATGAGTGCCTCTCGAATGCCAGGCTTGCCCTTCACCTTCAGGTCGTCGCAATAGACCTCCACAGCTTTTCGCAGCACTGCATGTCGCCGTTCAACCACAGCCAAACGTTCATGCGCTTCTCCAGGAGCCACTACATGCTCAATGCCGTGGGATGCTGTCCATTCGTCAAAGTGCTGACTGAGCCAAGGGCGACCTTCATCGGTGATCAACTGCTGGGGAGCACCAAAATGTGCAATCCATGACCGTTCCAGAGCCTTGACATAGTCAGTGGTCTGTTCGGACTTGAGCAGGTAGGCAGAGACATAGCGAGTGGCCAGGTCAATCATGGTCATGACGGGGTACTTGACGCCATCTTGCCGGATCCAAAAGACATCTGCCTGGAGGATCTGGTTGAACGAAGTAGAGGAAGGCATAGCTGCAGGTGCAGTTCCATTGGGCTTCTTGTACTTGGCACAGGCAGTGCATACATAGGTGCGAGCAGCTTGCAGGATGGATTGGCTTGCTCCTCGTGCAGCCAGGAGGTCAGTCAACTCGGAAGGTGCCGGGTGACCAAGATTGCGATGAAGTCGCTGGACCACACGGACGGCGTCCTGCTTCGTGGTTGCTTGCAGCTGTACCAGCTTGGATGTGACTTCTTTCTGTTCTTCGGTGGCGAAGACATGTTCCCAAACTTGAGGTAGTGTGCTAGCCATCGCAGGTTGGTACTCCTCCATGTAGCGAGTGCGAGCACCAAAGCGCAGAGCCTTCCAAGGCACAGTGTTGATGATCTCCTTGACATTGCAATGTCATCGCATCTTGTACTGCCTGTTTTGTCGTGAGCAGTGAGGTGCGTTTACGAACTGGTCGCCAGTTACTATCATCGTCCAAGCAAGTAGCCCCATAGCGACATTGATCGAAATCAGCACGTCGACCGGGCAAGGAGCGAAGAGCTTGAGTCTTCCATGACAGAGCTTCTTTTGGTTGCTCCAGATGGGCATGGCGTCCGCCATCAACTTGCTTCAGGTAGACCTTGCGGCTGAACTTGAGATGCCGATCATGATGATGTTGTCTGGCGGCCATGAGGGCCTCTTGTTGAGCTGGGGTGCTAAAGTCTGCATGCGGCTCCAGAGCTTGCATTCAGGTGCCACGAGCACTTCATCAGGCATTTCCTGGTCCTGAAGGTCAAGGAAGGCTTGTTGATGGTGAAGGAGTTCGAAGTTCCAGCCTGTCTCCGGACCAAACTTACGAACAGTCATGCCCAGTGCTTCGGCCACTTCAGCAG